CAGTTCACTGGTTATGTTTGGTAGGTTAGATCGATATGGGTCGCAAATATGCCGCAGAATGAATCTAGTGCTAGAAAGGCTTTCGCAGGTCGAAGACTGGCTAAGAATTCCTTGAGCGTCTTCTCGAAGTGACGTCACAATTCTACTCTGCCCAGATCCCCATTTACGCTGTCGAGGTTCATTCGGATCTCGACTTCAACAGGGCATAAAAAAAAATAAGAGTTTAACCAAATCCAACAATTTTTTCGAAGAAATACTAACTAAAGCAGGAAGATTTTTTTAAGGGAAAAAAAAGAATTAGGGGTCAGATGCACTTCAAGTAATTTTGTTAATTATGTTATTTTTTGACTGATCATGACTTGCTCTCTTAGGCCCATTTTTGAATGGCTGTTACTCAAATCGTTACCTCGTGCAGAAGTAATCGTAGACGTTACAGTCCTCTTCCCTAAGGAACAAAAGAAAAATATCTCTGTGAATACTTATTTACCACAAGGTTGTCCAGCCCTGAGAAAAGTCATAACAGCAAACTTGTAAAATTACAACATTTTTTTTTAACGTGTGTTTGTTATCACCAATCAGCTGCTGATGCGTAATTCGCCTTTCGCACCACTCGACCAGGTTGAGGATGAATGGTATAGCGTTCGCCATTTTCAACCCAAGGTCGAATTATGTCCGGTAACAAGAATGCAGTATTCGTTTAGCTTGCAGAAAGCGACATTCGAAATTTGGACGTGGAAGAAAACCAACTACGAAAAGAAAAACCAAAAATTACTGGACTTTGTTAATGGCTTTTTTCCCGGCTAAGGACGAAAATTAACAACTGAAAAAAAACTTCCACAGGTTGATTTTGGCCGTCTACCTGAGCATATTTCTTTTGTAGATAGCTGAGAATGAAATGTTGTGAATCGAAAGCTACGCCCATTTTTGGTTTCTATAATTAATCAACACATTTTTTCACCTTGAAGCTTATCGCCCAAACACTTTGCAACTGTTTTCTGCAGACTGGACTCATTATTTAGGTCGACTTCTCTTGTTTGTAAAGGCCTATTCTGTTTACACAATAAAATGGTTATACATGATTGCTTGTAGCTTGTGGAACTTATTTTCTCGTTTTCGACTGGATATCACCCGTTCTACGACCTTGCTCTTATCCAATGCCTAATTTGTTTGATGTTTGTTTTGATTTGTTTTTAACACTTTTGTTTTGGTTCGGTCATACCATTGTTTTTTTGTTGTTGTTTTTTTGTTTGTTTTTTTTTTGGTTGTTGTTCTTACTTCGCACGTGTCTGGGTGCTTTCAAAGGCTTATTATTAAATGTTTGCTTTCTTAATACTTTATGTTGAGAATGAGGACGTACTATTAGGTCTATTAACGTAACATCCATTAGTCCCCTCGCATATGTATCCTGTTATTTTCATTTCTTTTGTGCAGCTTATATCATTGTAGAGCCCATAATCCTTTCGATAATCTTTGTACATTTGCACGCAGTTCTCTGGTTCTGAGTCATTGCTGGGTTGTTGTTTTGCCCATGGCCAAGTTCCACGAGATGCGTTCACTGTGCTGTTATCACTAACCCATCGCCACTTTCGGGATGATCTATCTTTCCTCAAGCCTATAAAGTATTCACCGGTTTGCCACTTTTTATCAGCAGTGGCGTTCTTCAAAAATTCCCATTCATCGTAAGTTTCAATGGAAACAAGGTCACATCCGGCCTTTGTGCACCTTTCTCTACTTTGAATCCACGAGTAACCTGCTGCATTGCTCCGATAAAAAGCATAACTAGAACCATTCCTCTTCATGTGACCTAAGTGTAAAATTCAACATACATGTAATTCAATAGTGTATCTCCTAATCATTAGTCGCTGCTGCTGTTTAGACCAGCTTTCTGACAAAGGAAAAAGCAGGAACGAAGTACACGGGTTCTATAGGTAGAAGATTACATAAAAAGCCTTTTTGCGTATTTTTTTTCATGGCTCTCTATTCATTGCCAACAGCTTCCTCAAAATTTTATTTTGATTAAGATATAAAATACAGGGTCGTAGCCGGGATAATTCCAGAGGTTCGCACAATTTTCCAAACCACCCCCCTCCCCCCTTCCCCCCTCATTCCTTCTCGGCCTTCAAGACTTAAACCTTTTTTTCAGGGGACTTGATTAAAGGCGAGGGTATGTTGCAAGCTTAGCGATTTTACTGTATACGAATAACAACTAACGCGCAATGTTTTTGTAACCCTTTTCGGTTATTTGACTTTAGCACCTCAAAGACAATTGCTGAATATTTATAAGCCAACCGGTTTGTAGTATCTCAGAATTTTATTTAAAAATGAGTGATATTTTTTTTACCGCTCTGTGACACATGTAAAATCACCCACGTTGACGTAATTGCAGCCTAGTTAAGTTTCACTTAATTAATTCTCGCACTTCTTACAAATGTACACAAAATGATCAATCTATACATCTAGTGCTTTAAGAACTATAAACCCTAAGTCCAAGGCTATGTAAGAAGATAACTGTGGTCAGCTTTCATTGAAATCGTCGTTTTTCTTTAAACGCAAAGAGACAATCTTCTATCTTTTGTACCGGCGAAGTCGGAAAAAACCTTATTAAAGTCTATTTCCTTGTGTTTATGAACATGCATTACTGATACCGAGGATAATGTCGCATCTGACATACGCTCCGAGATGGCGTCTTAAGCCTCTTTATGTTGCTAAAGCTTCTTTCTGCAGCACACATAGTTTTGGTTATTTTTACTGCTAGATATAGCATGCGTGGTAACGAGGTGCATAGGGACTCGATCTTGAAGTCTCTAGGCGTTAGAACGTCCTTATGAGCCTTGAAAGAGCACTGAGGTAATGAAAAATGGCAGACGAGATTTTAAATACGACGAATAAATTAATATCAAATTTATTTTACGCTGAACGTCAGACTTGATCCACAGTGGAAAAACTGATGAAATGATCAACAAGTGAAACTTTGCACGATATATCCACGTGCCATTTTAATTTTTGCACATTTACCTAGAAATTCCTCCGCGACGAAGAATGTATATCTTAAAGTGTATATTGTTTTCATCAAGTGAAGGTGTCACTAACTTCACTGTTTGCGCCTTCAATTCCTCTACTTCGCTTACGAGCAAAAGAAAAGACATTGTTGGTGAGCTAATTTTTCGGTCAGAAACGAAGGTCTAATACGACCATGACACGAGAATAGTTCAATTATGCAATATTGATGCCGTGGCAAGTTCTTTTTGGGGTAATACTTGACATAATAAAAATATGTGAATGTTTGTTTGTCTGTTTGTTTGTTTGATTTTTTTTTATGAATGGACATCAGCCTGGTAAAGTTTTATTTTCATATATATGCGTGACTATAAATAACGTCCATCAAAACGAGTTTCAATTTTTTTCTTGAAAGCGGAAATAAAAAACTCATAATTCAAGCTCTCTGAACCCAGGGCAGTACTATATAAATAATATTTATATTCCTTTGTTGCAACTATCAATTTGTTAAGTTGATCCTAAGGCGACTTATGTCGCAGATGCTTAAAAACCAAGAGTTTTACTATCGCTTATCTGAAAGCAAAAATTAACAGTGGTGGTCTAAAGTCAAGTGCCATACTTAAAAATGACCAAAAAAAAAAAAAAAATGAGGAAAAGAAAGGATATGAAACAGAAAACAAACCAAAAGGAGACAAGATAGAAAAATTCTAAAGTCATATTATACTTTATACTATGCCTTAGTTTATTCTTATTCATTTTCATTATAAGACACTGTAAGCATGTTGTGGATGCTATTGGCGCCTTTGAGAACCTACCTGTCTATTACAATCTTTGCTCTCATATCATCGAATTGATTAACTGTAAATTCAAGATGAATGAAGTAGATCATTGCATATGGCCTGTTAATTGTAATGTGTGGAAAACTTTCACAGCCAAGGAGAACCCCAATTTACTAGTATAGAGAATGCAATTTTTTCTTACAGCATGTTTTTTATCGTCAGCAATAAGGCAGATACGGCTTAAAAAGATTATGAAGTATGAAGCTAATAATTATAACTAACCATTTGGCGTATCAACATCAGCATTTATGTATATGGTTACACTTAGCACAAGTATAGCAGAAAATACCACAGAATTGGATTTTTCCATTCCAAAAGCAGATGTTTCCCGCAATACGCACAACTATCAAAAGCGCAATTTTTAGACAACTGCGGTATCATGTGGATACCAGACGCTTCAGTTCTGCCCTGACAAGCGGTCTGTGCCAAGACGAGGCTGTCACGACTAAACAGATGTACGAGCATCGAGCATGTATGAATGTCGCAAATGCAAACTAACGTTGAGAAAGTGAAAACAATAAGGTCCATGTTAGCCTCTAGTGACATTATTCTTGACCGGCATGATCCGTTCAAACCTTGTTCAGCTCAATATCTCACTGCAATCATGGAGTTTTCTAGTCCCCTGATGACCTGTTTACTACAGACACAGCACGGCGCGGGATATTGGCAAAAGCATAGTGAATACAAAAACCAAAGTTATAAGTACCCTGCAATGCCCCAATTCCAAAGAAAGGGTATTTATTTCTTGATGTATTTAACCGAACCTCTCATTTTTATCCTTTAGTTTCA